ACACTTTACCATTATGGATCTTCAAAATCGTAATTTCGCCACGAATAAAAAAGGCAGAAAGTTGAAATTTCACGAATAATGCAGTAACGGCCATCAGTGTGTGAAATTCAATTTTGATTCTATGCTCTAATAAGAACATTTTTTAAACCCTTGATGTTCTCAAAATTTTTTACTTTTTCTTATTAATATAGAAAAATTAAATTTGTTTTATATTGTAAAAAATTTATCTAATGTTCTCAAATAGGGAACTTGTTTTAATAAATTATGTTCTTAAAAATTAATGTTGAGAATATTGAGAACATTGAATTTCGCACGTTGATGGCCATACTTATCACATTCTGGTCTTTATTAATATGGCACTAAATACAACCATTCCATTCATTGTTCCTTCTCAAGATGTAATGGCTCAACGGTAACCAAAGCTGAAAGCGAAACCTAAAAATATTACATCAATAATTAAAAATTTTTACATTCAACATTTGGTTTATTTGTAGTAAAAGAGCCAGAAAAAGCTGTGTCAAGTTTTGTTGTAGAAACATATGAAAGTTGGCGAAGTCTTAAAATGACGAAACAGAAAATGGAATTTTAGATATGGTTTTTTGGTCTTTCTATTGGTTTATCGTCTTTATCTTTTTTTCTTTTTATTAGTTTTGAAAAAGCAATAATTTTTTAATGGCAACGATAAGATGGTAATAATTTATTCAACCATTAATCGAAATCAGTATTTAGATACGTGAGAATACGTCAATTACATTATCATTTGTTTAACAAAGATCTAATTAAAATTTACCATCACTAGCTAATTAATTGAGTATGCTACTTGAGAACGCAGTAAGGCAGTTTATACGTGAAGATTTTCAAATAAACAGTGGGTTTACCATTTCAGTCAAAACCTTTTGCTCCGAACTACTTTATATTTTTTTTTTGCTGACTTAAAAAACTTTAACTATTAAAGTGAATAAATTATTGCTCAAGCGTTTTCATGCTTTTTATTATGGATTTTCATCATCGACACACATTTTATGTGAATTTTTCGATAAACTATTTAGAATTCTCTCAAGCAGTGATTCAGGTCTTTATTTTGATCCATCGTTGAAATTGAGCATCACTACAATTATTAGAGAACCACAATAATAGTAATGCTTGAGCATATGCCAATAATATCGTCATTCATATTATTGACTATTATTTAAAATGTTTATGGCAATACAGTAGCTAAAATTATATCATAATACTTGTACACTATTTCGATCACTATGAAACAGGTTGATGCTTGAGAACATACTAAATAAATTAAATCGATGATCTGATTTACTAAAAAAAATGAATCGTGTTCATGGCGATCAAAAAACTCTAAGCAACCATTGAATTACCTTACCCATTTTGCGCAATTAAACATTATTTGTTCACATGGTCTCACCATATGCTGCGGCGATGGCTCGACTCGCACTGGGATGTCATTGAGAAAGTTGTTTATAACTGGATGATAAATATTTAGTAAATTGTTTTTTTTTTAAAAAAAAAAAAAAAGGCTACCGGATAAATACCGTATATTTAAAAAAAAATCTATTATCGTTATACATTTCGAGGTATCACCCGTCACCCTGTATTTAATAGTTAAAAGGCAGTATCAGCATGCCTGATAATAATATTTATTTAGATTGAAAAAGTCCTAATAGCATTCCAATAGAATTCATCATTGCAGTCAAGAGATGTCTACCAAATATACTTTCACTTTTTGTATTTTTCAAATTTCAAGAATGAGTCAAGCTATCTCTAGCAGCTCTAGCAGCCAGCGCTAATGATCGCTAATGATCGTTAATTATACGTATCACTAATCCAAATCCAAACATGTATTATTATGTCATCAATGTTACTTAGATGCTCGAGCTACTTTAGTTGGACACTGCTTTAATACTACGTATATAGCTATAGCAGAACTGTTGAGATTTATGATATGCACTATTATGTACTTTTATGTATCAGTATGTTTCAAATATTTTCATTATTGTAAAATCCTAAAAATGAATTCAATATACTTTTTTTGGTTTTTAATATCTAATGGCGCATTAGTTGAATTCTTACTGGATATACCATACTGTAACATAATATGTATTACGTTATATTAAGAATGGGTTATTTATATAAATTATTACTTTTTTGGTATTAGGTAAAAATCCATTTGTGTTATCGTGCAACGCGACATGAAAATTACATTTTTAGGCAACTGAAAATAAATAACTTTTTTGGTTTAATCTTTTTTAATTTCCACCTGCTTTTAGGTTGTTCGTTCATTCAAAGTTCTCGGTATTTATCAAAATAGCTGGTGGAAATGAAAGTTCTATTTAATGATCTATATCATCGAATAATTCCATTCTTAATTGGAGTAGCATTACTTATAGATGTATCATGGGCTGATTTTAATCCTAGTTCTTATACATCAATAGAAGATTGTGTTGGCGCTACTGGTGTTTTTGTTATATCAAAGAATGATCCTGGTTATAATGATGCAAGAGTGGGCGAGCGAGTTAGGTAAATACTTTATTGATTTTTAGCTGAAATTTATTACTATTATTATTATTATTTTTCTTATTTAAATTAAATTTATTAAAATAGTAATGTCTTAACCTTTTTCAAAATTTATTTTAATTATTTTAATTCAAAAATCAAATATCAATATAATTTTAAGTCAAAATTTGATTATAAACTAAAATTTATTTGATTATTTAACTTATTCGATAGATTTCAACAATATCCAAGAATGATCACTTATCCGACTAATACGACTCAAGTTCAACAGTTGGTGCTTTGTTCAGCTACATTTGGTATAACACCATCACCGAGAAATGGTGGTCATAGGTAAGTAATAAAAATAAAAATAAAAATACAAAATACAAAATATATAAAAAGCATTATTATTAATTATTATTAATAATAACGATCTATCTATCTATCTATATAAATAGTAATACTGGATCTTCTTCATTAAACGATTCTTTGGTTATTGATATTAGTACCATGAATTCTGTTGATATTAATACTGTATCTCAAACTGCAATAGTTGGTGGTGGAATTAGACTAGGTCCATTATATATTCAACTTGCTCAAAAGAATTTTACTTTTATCTCAGGAATTTGTCCAACAACTGGTTTAACGGGTGTTATAGCTTCTGGTGGTTTTGGTTTACAATCTCGTAAATATGGTACTACTGGTGATTTAATACTTGAAGCTCAAGTTGTTACGGCTAATGGAAGTATTTTAACTGCAAATAGTATTATAAATGCCGATTTATTTTGGGCTATAAGAGGTGGTGGTGCTACTTATGGAATTATTACTCAATGGAAATTACAATTAATACCTGCTTGGCAAGATATTTACGTTTTCACCATTGAATACCCTTACGATCCTAATCTTTTTGCTTCTATATTAAAAGCATTCACTAACTTTGGTCATATTGCTCCTGATGAACTTTCAACTACCCTTTATGTAACTAATACAAATTTTAAAATAATTGGTCATTATTTTGGTGATGATGATCAACTTTATGAAAGATTATTGAATGCTAGTTTATTAACCTATAATGGTTCTCAAATTGAAGGTTGTGATCAAGAATCTATTGAGGAGAAACTCTTATTAAAATGTGATCATTTAGGTGCACGTGCTTACTTTTTGGATCCTAATAAAACTTGTGCAAGATACGATTTTCTTAATATTGGCACTAGTCCTTACGAATCAAACAACTTTACTTATACCATTCAAAATATAACTTATCCACCTGCTGCAACTGCTCCTGGTGTCGTAACTCAAGGTGTACTTTCGATATACCCTCCAGGTCCATTACAAGCTAGAGAGGATGTAAAAACAAAATCTATGTATTTTGGCGGTCCTTTAAATGATACTTCAATCAATGTCATTATCGGACTTTTAAAACAAATGCCTTCAGGAACATTCGCTGAGTTACTTTCTTATGGTGGATTACTTTCCACACAATCTTCGAATCTTACTGCATTTTTTCATAGAAATGTTGCTTATCACCTTCTTATACAAGTTCCTTCTACTTCTGATCCTACAACGAATGCATGGATCAGTCAGTGGGATACCAGTGTTAGGCCATTTTCCAATGGTCAAAGTTATCAGGTAAAATTTATTTTAAAAAAATTCTTTAAAATTTCGGTTTTCTCTCTTCATACTTAAAGTATTATCATCATACGTACGTAATCTTACATATTAATATTTTTTTGATATAGGGATACGAAGATCCAGATTTACCAAATTTTGCTCAACAATATTTTGGTAATAATCTTCAAAGATTACAAAACATAAAATCAAAATATGATCCTCAACAATTATTTAGTACTCAATCATCCTTAAATACAACAAAAGAAACTCCATCTCTTTACGGTACATGTCCATTTGTTCATGATGAAGTATTACCTGCAAGACGTAGTTCTGCGAATAAAATGATCGATATAATAATTTTAGATAAGGTTATGATTAGTTTATGGGTTATAGTTTTATTATTAATATGGTAAAAAAAAAAAATCACTATTAGCATTATTAAAATGAACCTTTTGTAATTTATATACGTGTAATAATTCAATTTGTAATAATTCAATTTTGTTGTATATGTTAAAAGTATAATAGCATAAAGCATATCTGAAATTTTTTTTTTCGGTTTTTTGAACAAATTTGATGAGTACTGAATTTTTATTATAAATACATGGCATATATCAGGTATGTAAATGGGACAGAACTAAAATTGGGACATAATAACCTAAAATCTAATCCTCATCCTAAATCTAACCCAAATCAACTTATTGTAAATTGAATTTAAGCTATACGAAGTTAATGGTTTGATTTTTTATAACATGGTCGTGTCAAATTTTGAAAATTTTAGGTTTTATTATATCATAGTAACCGGGTATCCCCTGGAAAATTTTTCGAAATTTCCTTGGGTCATTCGATTTTCTTCATCTTCCTCTGTGTCATCATCGTAGTTCTCATCCCCATATTTTGATCTTAAAAAAGTAATATTATTAACTAGGAACGAGCTTATGCACATCATACGACAAACAAAAAAAAAACATTACTGGAACCTCAGTTGATACATCCTCAGCATCGGTCGTTTCTAATTTTTCAAAATCTTCCAATAGTGACTTTAATGGACAGAACTAAATTAGAAATCTTTAGGAACATGAAAATTAATAAAAAATGCAAGTATATACCTTCTCCTGATCTCTTTCCGGTTTTTTTCCTCTGGTACATTCTTTTCGGACGATTTATTATCATTGATGGTTCCAGAGTTATTAATCAATTGTTGAGTTGTGAAGGTAAATTGCGGATCCACCAATCGTTCTATCTGATTTGCGTCCATCTTCCCATTTTCTTGCAGCTAGAATAAACAATTATTGAATTATTATTCTCAACGCATATTTATAATTATAGTCTCTCATCCAATCTCTTGTCCCGTCAGATCGGCTAACAACCTTGAACATCAGACGACCTAGCAAGTCGCCCGTGCTCCAACGGGGTCAGTGCAGAGTCGGCTAGCAACCTTGAACATCAGACAACCTAGCAAGTCACCCGTGTCTCGACACTGACTTTGGCTCGGCTAACAACCTTGAATGAACGACGACCTAGCAAGTCGCCGCCACGCCATTATTTCCACCTGCATTTACTGCAAACCAAAAAAAAATGTTTACTTCCCTATATTTATCAAGAAGGGTTTGTGCCCTTTGAGACCTGTTCCCTTGTTCGTATTTAGCAATATATTCGAGGCTTTTTAGGTAGCAATCTATTTTTAACTCAAGTGATTCTACTTCACATTCTTCCAAAAATCCGGTTATATTCCACTCTGAAGATTTACGATCGAAATATTCGTGCGTTGTGCTTTCTGTCATAACTGGTGTGGACTTCCAAGATTACAAAGGAAACTTTATAAATGTTTTATATACAGAGACTAGGGGATTTTCCATTTTGAGAAAATGACGATTATTGTTTATTTTTACCTCGTGAAATCGTAAAAATTTTATTGGTTAATCAAATTTATTAAATTCAATAGCATAGCGGAAGTTTGTTTTGATTGGCTGTTATTAGGATAAATATGATTGGTGACGATCTTTTTTTATATAGTCAATGTACTTTTAATAGTAAAAATCATCGTGTCATATGATCCTTTTTTTTCGCAATACAAAACGTAACAACCAACTTGAGTCGTTGGTAGTTTACCTTTAAACTTATTGTTTTTTAACCTGAGATGCAATAAGATGCAATAGTTCCAAAAACTAGATGAGAGGTGAATATTTTGAAAGGTCGGAAGGTGGTCCAGCGATCTAGACAATTGGTGAGTTGAAATTGAAAGATTCGCTTCAACTAGTTTGTGTTTTTTTACGAGTAAAAGTATTATGTTGAACTATTGTTCTAAACCATATTTTAATATTTTTCATTATAATTTATTTAGATACAAGTATACTTTGTGGATATGACGTTTATAATACAATAAGTTATAGTAATGGTAGTGTTAGGAATGGTCGCGTACGCGTTATTTAGTAGACATTTATATGTATTTATTGTACCCGAATCCGCCCAATTCGGAATCCGTCCATCCTGATTCAAAATTGGGGTGGCCGAATTTGGAATCCGTAAACGGGTTACCCGAATAGGGATTACGATGATCAGTACCCCGTGTTCATAGAACATCCAATAAAAATCGTATCATACGTATCGTATGTAATTGATATCAAGTCGGGAGTTAAAATTTATTATCAGGTTGGGAATTAAAATTCATTTGTTTCAGTCATTAATATCCGACGCATAAATGATGTAATTGTTTAAAAAGTTAATTAAAAATAGGTTAATAAAATGTGAAATTCAAAACAAACCAATTTCAAGGATACTTAAGGGTAGGGTGAACGTTGATCATTTTTACTAGTGATCATGTTACTAATTTTTTTACAATAACATTTAATTGAAATCAGGTGATGATCATATGATA